ATTTCTCATTACTCCTTTCCTGGTAGTTTGCAAAATCCAAACAGACAAATTGGAAGTCTTCTGTGCAGAAAAAAAAAAAAACAGGTTGTGGCTGAAAACATATGTTTTGTGAAAAAAGAGGGGGGAGTCTAAAATACACACATCTTTTGTACAAACATGGCAGTTTTTGCATGTATAAATGGACACCCTTGCTTTGTAGCGTGAACACATAAGAACACAGTTAGCTAAGCAGATTTCCTGACTGGCAAGGGATGCCCTTCCCAACTCTTTCCATGCCCCAAGAGAGCAACCACTCACCTGATGCCTCTGTTCATTACAGTGTGTGGGGACAAACAGTGGCACTCTTCTATAAAATGTTCATCTGGGCAACCCATAGTTTTCTAGATTTGACTATGAAATTTTGGCAGTCCCAGGCAACTTCCTGATTTAGCCCATTGCCAACTGGAGGCAACAGGCCTGGATTTCCCAGCAAAGAATTTAGAGAGGGAAAGGAGGATAAGATACTTTGTAATGGACAGGGAGAAAATTCCAATGTAAATATGGAAAGATTCCTACCTGTAGAATGACATTTGGTCACTTTTTGGGTAATCCCAACAGACCCACAGCAGATAAACCTGTGCTTCTGGTTTGAATGCTTTGTTGGATTTCACCATTTTCCTCTCCAGAATTAGAAGGAGACAAACCAGGGTGGAAGGCTCAACAATTCAAAATTCGCTCATCAATTACAGTCCCGTTTTCCTATGCTCAAATAATGCAAAGATTAGGTAGAGGGAAGCTTGAGGGGGCAATTAAGATTTGCTATTTTTCATCCCAACCCTCTACAGTGATGATGCATCAATTGGGTAATCCCTTTACCTCTTATGCACCATCTTTTCGTCCACTGAAAGATTGAGTAGTGTCAGTCCAACATTCCTCCTTACCTCCTGTAAAAGATCTTCAGGTATCCTGAGGCCAGACAAGAATCCTACAAGAAAAGAGTAACTGTGTTAATGACTATGGACTACTCAAAAATCCTTAAAGCATCACCTTGTAGAGCTCATTTCAAGCTATCCAAACCTGGAGTCGATTAAGTGTCCCTCTGATGAGGAAGCCAATAGCCCTGTGTGTGTGTGCGTGTGTGTAAACAGCTAAAAAAAGAGCAAGAACATACACTGGACCTTTGGTATCCTCTGGGGTTTGGTTCCAGCACCCCCTGTAAAATCCAAAATTCATGACTGGTTGACCAGGAAAAATGAGCACCAGGTGATTGTGTCAACCACTTATAGGAATAATGGGAAAAATCATAAGCCGGCGGGGCCCTCCTCCTCTGATTGGACCCCTCTGCCAGAGGCAGCCCTAGGTAATTTTCAACGGTAAGCAAACAGTATTTTGGCACAACCCCCTCCCCAACCAATCATTGATATATATTTTCTGTTCCTCGTGGGAGTTCTGTGTGCCATATTTGGTTCAATTCCATCATTGGTGGAGTTCAGAATGTTCTTTGATTGTAGGTGAACTATACATCCCAATAACTACAACTCGCATATGTCAAGGCCTATTTTCCCCCAAGAGCACCTCAAGAGCGCCCATGGGCTAAATCAACTATACTGCAAATGCTTAGACTGGATCTTTGAGGAACTCACACAAGGAGATACCCACAATGAATTGTGTCAGAAGAATCAGCTCCATCCCGAAAGACCTCTGGTATTTTTCTGGCAAAATCCAAGTGGGTTATGAAAAGAAAATATTTTTTAGTCACTGTTCATGGAAATTACTTTTGAAAGAGGTGAATGTTCATAGAGTCCACAATGTGAGAACATGGCTGTTTATCCCTGCATCTTTGGCATACAAAAACTCTTTGATCTGAGTTTAGAAACAAAGTAAGAATCAGCCAATAACATTCTCTGTTAGCAAGGAACCCAAAGCCAGGTTTCTCAAACATCCTTCTCTGGCAGTGGTTCTCAACCTGTGAGTCCCCAGGTATTTTGGCCAACAACTCCCAGAAATCCCAGCCAGTTTACTAGCTGTTAGGATTTCTGGGAGTTGAAGGCCAAAACAGGTTGAGAACCACTGTTCTATAGCAACTGGAAGCATTATATTACCCACCTTTTTCTGCTACCTGAGAATCTTCCTGCTATGCATTGCCAGGCAATCCTGCTAACACTCACAGGAGGCTTAGAAACAGAAGTCTAAAGATATATTTGAAATAAAGAGGCTTACCATGACAGTACCCAACAGCTACAAACTTAAGGGTTATACAAAAAAAGCAGCTGTGTTGAGGCACACTATCAAACCAATTGAGAGAGTTGCCATCTGAACCAAGGACAGATCTTTTCTTAAGCCAATGAGTCTTGGTTGCTCATTCAAGGCTAAGCCACTACAAAATACTTGGCATTACTTACTTACTTACTTACGCAATCCCTCGTTGGATAGTCTTCTAGGATCGGTTTCTGGTAGATCCGTAGGTGACTGTGGAGCCCTATTCTTGATTTGCATCTTCTCCTGAAGTGAGGGCATTGGCTTCCAGGTGGAAGGCGGTCTCAGTCGGGGTTGGCCTGACGTGCCTTCCTCTTGGCACGTTTCTCTCTTTGGCCCTCCATTCTTGCCTCTTCCAATTCTACAGCACTGCTGGTCACAGCTGACCTCCAGCTGGAGCGCTCAATGGCC